AAGGGGGGGAGGAGAGAGCGCATGTGGTTAAGCGACTGCTGGCCGTGCCAGGCGCGAAGCCTGCAGGAGGTTCTCTCGTGTGACCCCCCTCGCTCCACCCCTAGGCCGGCTACGCCTAAACCCTCACCACCGTCAAACCAGCCATCTCTTGTTTACCCACACTTCCCCGCCTGACTCATTTGGATGAAATGACCGCATGCTTTACCTTTGACCCCATTGACTGGTACGATGAGAATTATACTAAAGCACACGTGTGTCTACCACCTGCTCTTCTGAACTCTTTGATGGGAATTTTTGTAAACATTTACAGTGTTACAATGAAACTAGTTTTTTCAAGGGAAGACGTTCTTTGGAAACATAAAGCAACTTCAGTAAATTTTCCAAACCGTATCCCCAGGTCGTCGTCAGACTTGTGAAGATGTGCAAAGAACAATTAAAATTTCAAAAGTGCTGATACAGTTATATAGTCATCTGGTGTGGGCGCTAATTCGCTTCTGCAATTTACGTCAGTCCATGGTGGACAAGATTAGTAGTCTCGACAGCGTAATGGCTAATGGGCAACTGTAATTTGCGTCAATTCCGGGGTTAGTCCGGGTCATCCGGTGGGGTGCTAATTAGTAGTTGCGGTTCACGTTAGTCTGTGGTGATTGGCTGTCGTCTCTTGTATCTTCGAGATTTTTGTACACTCTAGCCAACTCGATACGTCGGCTGATACATGAGTCATCGGAGTGTGTCCTCAAGAAAATTTTAGCCTTTTTAGAGGGGCAAACTCCAACGATGCATGTTTTCTCCCTTGCAAATGTGTTTCCTGTATCAAGGTAATGCATAACCACTTTGGACAACTGTTCACGTTTCTTCACTGCCAGTTGGTGTTCGTGTAAGCGTGTGGAAACGAATCCTCCTAATTGGCCATAATATACGGTATCACAGGCTTCGCATGGGATCTTGTCCGAAGTGGCTATGCATTGCCCTGATACGCAACACACTGAATAAAGTTACTTTATTTACCCAACGAACGTCTCTCCTTGAAATTACGTTTCTTGGGATGCCTGCCTTCCAATTTATACAAAAGTTACTTTTTGCCCAACTTAATTCCTGAGATGAATGCTTAAATTGATCTGCATGCTTCAGGACCTCCGTGTTAAAATAA